AGCTGCTCCAGCAGGTCCCCACCAGCCAGGCAGGGCAGTGGTGCTAATCTGAGCTAAAAACCAGCCTGAACCCTCAGCCCCAAATTGGCAACTGAGGCTGAAGTACTAGACCTGGGACTGGCCATCCATCATCTGACCCTGGCAATGCCCAGTCCCCTCTCAGACAGAAATTGGAATGAAATGTGTGAGGCTCCTCCCTCAGGAAGGGGATGGTCCCCAACAGTCCTCCTCAATGGTGGGAGAAAGGGACGTTCCCACAAGTGTTGGTATGGGGAGTGACAATGAGCCCTGCTTAGGAATTGTCACTGTTGACTGGCTCTATAAGAATTGCTTCAAGGAGTCATTTTGGTAGAATTATTAAATGGAGTTGTTTTGATAGAATCATGTAATAGATTTGATTTGACAGAATAATTTAATAGAATTTGAATTGACCAAAATGAAACTTCTGGCCACACTGTGCCTGGAACCGGACATCATGCACACCCCAGAACACGTGGTGACATTGCCCATTCTGAGCATGCCTCAGTGTCACCAGTGCCTGGGTCAGCAGTAAATGCAGCATTTTGAAGTGGAAGTTTTTCCGGTATTCCTTTGTTGTGGACATCATGAGAGCAATGGCCTAGGCTGGGGATTCCAGAGGGGACAAAGGGGACACAGGAGAGCCCTGCTTGTGACATTCAGCCTCAACCTTCAGCCAGGTCTGGGTAAAGAGAGGATTCACCTGGAACTCAGAGTGGCTGAGGTCCCGCAATGCCGCGATAATGGCAGGGCCGCAGCCCTGGTACTGATCACTGAAGGAGTCCTGGGCCATGTCCTGGGATTGGGATTGGGTCCATGAGGGCCTGGGAGATGTTGGAGAGGCATAATAACCCCAGGATTTGGGATCAGGGACTCCAGACATGCCCAGGGGTCTGCTGGCCAGGAGTGCCTCCCTTCCCCCTGGGCTGACCACACTCCCCTGTCCAGTCCCGCATTAAGGAACCCTCCCCATGTCTCCTCTGTGTCCCCTCTTTGTCCTCCAGTGTCCCAGCCTGGTCCCTGCAGCCTCTCCTTGCCATGGCCCCCTGGCTCAGACCCTGGCACTGCTGGCAATGGCCATGGCCACAACAACTGTCAATGTGATCCCCCTGGACATGGCCCCAGACTCCTTTGATGACCAATACCGGGACTGTGGCCCTGACATGAAGGCAGCATTGCCGGCCCTCAATGGCTCCGAGTTTGAGCAGAACAAGATTTTTGCTGAGGTTTGGGTAAAGGCTGCAGCCAAGGTGCAGAATCAGGGCCCCCCTGAGTCCCCTCTGTCCCCAGACCAGGCCACTGCCATCATGGCCTTTGCAACATATGATCTGTCCAGCATGTTCAGTGAGGCCGTGCTTGTGGCTGGGCGTTCCAGCCAGGAGTACCAAGACCACTTCCACTTCAAAATGCTGCATTTCCTGCTGACTGATGCCGTGGCCACACTGAGGGATGCTCAGAATGGGCAGTGTCGGGACGTGCTCCTGAAGGTGTGCGACAGCTGGTTCGAGGCACAGCGTGGTGTGTATTTTTTGCAATACACGGGTAAAAGCAAGAAAAGGAGTGAGAAGTGTGGATACCCAAGATGAACGTGGATGGAATTCCTGGAGAAAGAGATAAAGGAACTCCAATGAGGGTCTTTCGCAACTTCTGGACCAAAGAAGGAGCAGTGCCTGCAAAAAGCAGAAGTTGCAGAAAGGTCATCTGGCATATTGGGGCACTCAGTGAAAACCACACCCAGAAACCCCTTTGGGTGACCCTCCAGTACCAAAAAAGGACTTCCAGAAAGAGGCAGAACCATGCAAATTATTTCCAGAGAAAGTGATGTATCTGCATTATCTAAGAAGCCCCTTCTAATGAATATTTGTAATTGTGGTGGATGAATACCCCTTGTCAAAATCCTCCCTGACCTGCAGGACCAGGAGAGATCTGTAGTGAGTGCAAGCTGAGAAAGAATTCCGGCTTTCTGATAACCTGCAGTTCCTTCAGGGAGTTCGCTCTGGCTGATTTTGGTATCAGGGCCTGGGGGGACTCCAGGGGACTCTTGGAGGGAGGGAGAGGGGACATTGACATGGGGACTGGGGCCCTGGGGGATACTGGGGGGACCCTGGGGGAGAATGTGATGTGGGGTTTGGAATCCTGGTGGAAGCTGGGGGACACTGGGGGACATGGGACTGGAGTTCACAGGGCTCTGGGGTACAGCAGAGGGGAACTGGGGGTGTGACTGCGGCCATGGGAGGGCTGGAGGACACTGCAGGGGGCAGGGGGTGATTCCTGCATTTGGGTTGGGGTCCTGGGGTGTATCGTTTCCAACACTCTTAAAAGGGACACCAGACTGGGAATGGGATTGGGGTCTGGGGGTGGACTGAGAGGGACAAATAGGGTGTCACCCCAGATTTGGGCTGGGGTCCTGGGGGGGCTGAGGGGACTCCAGGGGAATGGCTCAAAACTCTGGGAGTGGAATTAAGGTCTCTGGGACAACTGGAGGACACTGGAGCATTGAGGAGTGATCCCAGGATTTGGGATCAGGGTCCCAGGATATCTCCAGAGGTCTCCTGGCCAGGGCTGCCCTCGTCCCTGTGCTGACCCCCCTGTCCCTCTCCNGCTTGCAACGAAATGTGTGTGAGGATCCTCCCTTGGGAAGGGGATGCTCCCTAGGGATCCGCCTTGAGGCTGAAAGACATTTTCCAAGATTGTTGTTGCGGGGAGTAACTCGAGCCCAGTTTAGGAATTGTCTCTTTTTGCTGGCTTTGTCAGAATTATATAATGGAATTGTTTTGATAGAAGTATTTATTAGAATTGCTTTGCGCAATGGCCTTGGTGGCCACACTGGACACGGTGGCTGTGGTAGCCTTGTAGCTGGGGGAGTCTTGGTGATCATGGTGGCCACAGCTGCCACAGCAACCACAGTGACCTTGGTGACTTTGATGACCTCATGGCTCATTGTCCTGAAGTGTTGTAAAAATGGGGCTTCTGGGGCTCTTTTTCACCAAATACCTTGATACCAAAGGGACTGTTCCTGGAACAATTTCTTTGCACGTGTGCTGTTGTTTCCTGTTACAGAACTTGCCAAAACTCCACTGGAGTTCCCTTTATCTGTTTCTCCATGGGTTCTAGCTGTGATTTTCATCTTGTGTGCACACCTCTCCCTCCTTTTATCATTTCTGCCAGTTTGTCTTCAAGTACTGTCCAGCACCTTCAGGGAACGGAAAATTTCCATTCTCTCTGGTATTTGTCACTTGGTGACAGAAATGCTCCAGTCCTGTCATCATCCATGCTGCCAACCAGGATCTCCAGGTCTTTCCTGTTCTGAGGAGCCCAGAATGGGAAAGAGCACTGGGCAGAGCTGGACATGACACTGAGCAGAACTGGACATGGCACTGGGCTGAACTAGACATGGCACTGCGCATAGCTGGACATGGCACTGGACAGAACTAGAAATAGCCCTGGGAAGAGGTCAACACAGCCATGAGCAGAGCTGGAAATGGCTCTGGACAGAGTTGGGCACAGCCCTCCTGATGTACCTCACTGGGCAGGGAGAGGGACACGATTACTACCTGACTTCCTGGCCTCACTTATCTGAGTGTCCTCCAAATCCCTCCTGGCACCAGGCCACATGGCCAGCTCCATTGGTCACACAGCAGCACCCCCAGGTCATTCCCCAGAGCTGCTCCAGCAGGTCCCCACCAGC